ATTTGGAATCTGGTGCTGTTTTCCACACAAAAATTTTATCTTAACTTTCTTGAAGTCAGTGTATGTTATAGTATTCCTTTAAATTTCACACTTCTTCCCTGCCTTCCCTCTTTGCTTCATTAGTCTTTTGCTTTCACTCAGACATATATGGATATTTGGGTATTTGACAAGCAAGACATCATTAAACATGAGTCATCTGCACAGAAATACTCTCCTTAATGACTGTGGTTGTAGTTTCACAAGACAAAAATCTGTTTCTACGTTTTGGAATAAACTGTTTAAGGTATGCAAAACTATCGGGGAAAATAGTTAAAAGTACCACAGAAATACCCACTTGTGCTTCCTTCTCAGGATGGTCAGTGAATAAAGCCCTGGCTGCAGTACCACTCTCTGAAATGGCCTTATGGAACAAGCCCTTTGCCAGGGGAGACAAGACCTGTAAAAAAAAAGCAAGAACAAGCATTTCAAACATGACGAGCAGCATATTCTGACCACTGACTTAAAATTTCAGTATCAGGAGCTGCCATTTAAAACATTTTGAAAACAAATGTCATAAGGCTGTTATTCTGTAGCCTCTGATCATAGTTCAACTATGCAAAGGGCTTTGGCAGCACTGTCAAGGATAAGAAGTTCATGCCTGCCTTCTGCTCTACCATAGCAACTTGCTTCCGAGACTTCATGGAACTACACTGCAAGCCAGATACAGATCAAATATAACCCTGTCCAAGATAGTCTGGTTGTGCTACAGAAGACGAATAAAAAACTATCAGCCAGAGGTCAGGAGCTTAAGAGCAGGGATTTTTATCATATATATCTCTGAACCCTGGTTACACTATGTGACCTGTACCAAATTGGGACAGATTGGATAAGAAGAAACTCTTTGCCAACGTGCTCAGTGTTGATATAAAAATTTTACATTATCACTGGGTCACAAAGTACACATCTAGTTCAGCTATCATGACTATTCACCTCGTTTGGACATATGACTCTCAGAGCAACCAGGATATAGGCAAAAGAAGCATGACCAGCAGGTCAAAGGAGGTGATCCTGCCCCTCTACTCTGCTCTCGTGAGGCTTCACTTGGAGTATTGTGTACAGTTCTGGTGTCCTCAACATAAAAAGGACATGGAGCTGTTGGAGCAAGTCCAGAGGAGGGCCACGAGGATGATAAGAGGACTGGAGCACCTCCCGTATGAAGACAGGCTGAGAAAGTTGGGGCTGTTCAGCCAGGAGAAGAGAAAACTGCATGGAGACCTCATAGCAGCCTTCCAGTATCTGGAGGGGGCCTACAAGGATGCTGGGGAGAGACTCTTCATTAGGGACTCTAGTGGTAGGACAAGGGGTAATGAGTTCAAACTTAACCAGGGGAAGTTTAGATTAGATCTAAGGAAGAAGTTCTTCACAGTGAGGGTGGTGAGGCACTGGAATAGGTTGCCCAAGGAAGTTGTGAATGCTCCAACTCCGGAGGTGTTCAAGGCCAGGTTGGACAGAGCCTTGGGTGATACAGTTTAGTGTGTGGTGTCCCTGCTCATGGCAGGGGGGATGGAACTAGATGATCTTGAGGTCCTTTCCAACCCTAACTATTCTATGAGTCTACGATTCTAGTACATCCCCTATAAGAACTTTTCTCAGGATAATTTTTTTGGGTTTTGGCAATGGAACCCTTCCCCCTCTGCCCCTGAATTTTATTTAGTAGATGAGAAGTCACATTTTGGGTCTGAACTACAAGATTTGGGTATGAAAATAACGTTTTCATCAATCAGAAGCTGTATTATATTGTTCTTTTATTATAGACCAAGGTGATGTGTCATTTCCTATAAAACCATCCTTTTTCTCTCACTGGCTTTACATGCAGGTACTAAAAATGAAAGTGGATGGTGGTTTTCCCCCCACCCCAAGTAATTGAAATTCAGTATTACTATGAACTTACAAGAGCAGAAACACTGATTCCTCCTGCAGATTCTCCAGCGATAGTGATGGATCCTGGATCTCCTCCAAAATGCATGATATTTTCCTGAATCCACTGAAGAGCTGCTACTTGATCTAAATACCCCCAGTTACCTCGGGCATGCTTATCACCAGTGCTGCAAAGAAAGAACAGATTTGTTTTAAATACTCAATGCAAGAAAAGAGGCAGAAAAATTACAACCTGTGGTATAAGAAATCAGCTGCCGATCTCTACACAGGGCTTTTCTACACAACTGAGAAACAAATGGCTCACAAAGCATTGAGATCAGAGTAGCAGTCAAACAAGAACAGACTTGGAAGCTGACCTGGGACTTGTAAATTGTCCCCAGCTGTTGCATATGTAATTAAAAAATGTATAGTTTCTTTGCATAAGCAAGTATTCTGTATGTCTCTACGCAGAGGCTCTGCATGCTTAATTTTGGAAATCACTTAGCAAAACATGATATAAAATATCTCACCTAAAATATCCAAGAATTCCTAATCTGTACTGAATTGTTACAACTACCACATTGTCAAAGGCTGCTAATGCTGAACCATCATATGATGAAGCTGCTCCAATAGATAACCCACCGCCATGGATCCATACAATGACCTGGAAAAACAACATCAGATACAGCACAGATAAGAGCTCCCAGTGATAAAAACTAAGTATAAGCCAATATACAGTATTTTGTGCTATTCCACTCCTAACTCTTTCAGGTTTCATTTCACAAATGGTAGAAGTCTTTTGAATATGAGGCCTGCAGTCTTACAAAATGACATAGATTAGTTACACTGTATCAGTGCCCCATGACTTTTCACAGATTATTTAGAAGAAATCAAGCATTACCTAGCTAAAATATCAATAACATTTTATTTCTAAAATAGGATTTTGTGTCTCTTAAATCTCAGCAAATACCTACTGGGGCACAGCATGTAAATCAATCGTCATTACCATACTGCATGTCTAAGTCTGCATACAGCACAGGTTGCTGTAAGACAATTTTGCTAGAGGTCTTAAAATGATTTTGCTTACAGGCAGCTTTTCCTGTTCTCCTGTAGAAACGGGTGTATACACATTTAGGTATAGGCAATCTTCAGACATTTGCAGAATAACTTTTTCTTTTCTATTAGTAATATAGTCCGAACAAAACTGTCCTTCTTTTTTATCCTGTAGACACCTGAGTAAGCAAAAACATAACAAGCAACAGAAATAACTAAAACCTCAAAGCTATGAAGTGTAGCTTTTCTGTACCTCCACAACAAAGTGCAAACCAGAAACCAGTCTCTGGTACATTTCTAGATTGTTGGCAACAGAAAGTATAATTTTTTTTTTTTTTTCACTTTAAATGTATTTTCCTCGTTTGACCTGACATTAAGGAGAGCCATAACAAAGAGACACAGTTTATGGCAGTACACAGTGACATGCAGATGTAATTTTGAATGTTTCAAAATATTAGAGAAATATACCTGCAAATACACATGGCCTTAAATTACTTCAATGAAAATGCAAATTAAAATTATTTTAGCTCTTTGATAGCTTTTTGGATTGTAATGGTAGGTATTAAGCTTGAGGCATTAAACAAGAGCAGTAGTACAAATGGAGTAAGACATTTACAGTATAAATTAGAATTGGTCTGGCTTTCTTATGTGTCCTGTTAAACATTTTTTTAATTCTAATACTGTATTCCAACATATCCTCAGCTTCTTCCTGTTTCTGCTCCAAAGCTACACAGTTTACAAACATTGCTAAGTTATGGCCAAGTGCTCCCAAAACAGAACACTACTGGCAAATTGCCAGTCCATATTAGTTCATCATTGATGTCCAGTAGATAGCATTTTTTAATAAAATCAGAAGCTTACAAAGATGCCTTCAGAAATGCATTCATTGTAACAGCTGCAGGTGGCACCAAGGAATTTCTCTTTGTGGATTTTCATTGCCCTGTACATCAGTGTCCTGGAATTGCATATAATATAAAACTATTAATAAAGATCCATGGTTTTGTCACTGTCTTACATTGGCGGGTAGGAAGTGGCATCTCTGACCCCTTTCCATGGCTCAGGTGGCTGGGGCTCAGAAAACCTCAATGGTCCAACTGGGGGCTTAGCAAAAGGAACTCCCAAAAAGACGTTCACGCTCTTCTCAGCTGCGTCTACTTTGAATTGGTACCCTCGGACTGTCCCATATTTGGTCACCACTTCTGGGTGCTCTGCTTTTTGTTCTGGAGAATATGAGCACAAAATCACACTGAGTCTATTTGTAAGTAACTGACAGATTTCTAAGAGCTTTAGCTACTTAAATACCTTTTGTTTGCTTCAACAATTAATTTCCACACATAAGGCTTCAACAAACTCTAATCAATATAGCTGATATTATTTCAGCCTTTGTTTTGATTGGTTTGTATATATGATCTATCTAGGGCATATTATATCATAGATATGTATTGTCTTACTACATACACACATTAATAATTGCATATAGATCTTAATCCTTTTTGATCCAGGTTGTTAGTTAAAGTCCAGTAGGTTGCCCACATTAAGAAAAGGCATTTCCTTTTTTAAGAAAAGATCTGTAAGCACATAGAATACATTCCAGATGCTTGATATAGTGGATACAGCTAAAAGAAAAAGCTTTTAACATACTGAAAATAATCTGGCGTATTCAAATACTGTTAAGATTTAGGCAAGATTCATTTTAAGATGGAAGTTCTCAATACCAAATTACAAATGTGGATCAGTGATCTGCTGTGCCTCCTCAGACAAGATTTTAGGACAAGAATTTGATTTCACTATTTGCAAAAAAAGGCAAGTAAGACAAATGACTGAAAACAGGTCATAGAAATAATGTAAGACCTCTTGCTATTCAGACTTCATTTCATTGCATCAAGGTTGGGTGCCCAGCTCCTCCAATAAGGCTTGTGTTCCCTTTAGGGAGCAAGCTGCACCTCTGCTCTATTTCCTTACAGAAAGCAATGGAGAAAAACCCTTCTGCAGCTTACCAGTAGCTACAAACGCTGTGAGCTGGGTGGTGAGAATGAAGCACAGCAGCAACGCGTCCTTTCCAGTTGCCATCTTGCAAGCTAGTCACATGTTTGCCTCCTCAGTGTGTTGCCTTTTATACTCTGGTACATGTTACTGTTACGCAAGGCAAACACTGATTAGCAAAAGCAATAGCCAAGCTGAACTAACCTAGTTACAGGCAGGCAGAGCAACTGCCCTGCTCCTAAGGCACTCACAGAGTGGACCCACAAGTTTGGCTCCCTAGTGCTCCTTCTCTCATTCCCAAAACCTCTGGCATCAACTACGCGATTTCAAATGCTTTCAAAACAGTCTTCCATTGCACCAAGAGACTCGTCCTGCTGCTGTAACTCTGCAACTTTTCATGGTAAAACTAGGATTTCCTCATACCATACAGTGAAGAGATCAGGCAGGGAACTATACTTCTACTACATCTGTTTACTTCATTTTGGTTTCAGTCTCTCAATGTAAGGAACACACAATATAGCCACAAAGAACAAAATCCAAACCAATACTCCTGAAAAATGTGCTTTTGCTGAAGTAAAAGTTGAGGGATTTTTATTCTCACAAAAGGATACTGTTTGACAAAAACAATACTAGAAGAATCTTAGCTTTCCCTGCAGGGTGGATACTCAATCTGTCACTCAGTCCTGCGTATTCAGGGATGGTTGGTTGGTGTCTAACACCACATGAGTTTTGCAACACTGAACTGGTGGGGTTTCAGCTTTTGTAGCGTGGGAACAACACTTAAGGATTTGGGTGTAACTATACACTTAATACCTCTGAAAAATCAGAAGCATGTACTGGCTTCTGCATGAACTCACATCTGTTACTGGAGCGTGATACGAAAAGGAGAGAAGAGAGAGCTGAATAGAAATAGAAGAGATTACCTACTCGTGTTAACTCAGGGGTTGTGCTAGATTTATGTAAGCTTTGGCCTCTGTCCTCCTTTTTGTTTTTCAGGCAAGGCTCAGTAACTCTTGCCCCAGAAAGGCCATTTTGCAATTTTATATCATGCGAATTCTCATTTGCCAGAGACAGCATTTCTGTAGATTGATCTCCTGCTTGCACACTTGTTTTCAGCTAAGTGAGACATATATACCCACAGTCAGTAGTTCAGCCCCTATATTATGCACCTAGTAGTCCTGCGCAGTATGGCTATGCTTGTGTACTTTACTCCAGATGTCCCTAAGTGTATCTGAACAGGTGTGATTTATAACCCTTGTAGGTAAACCCCAGTCAACTTCAAACTGGACTGCTTAGAGAGCAAACTGTTGGCAGGTGAATGTACACATTCAGTGCATGCTGAGTATGTTAAACACTTGCTTTGTTAATCAGGAGACTCTATACTGAGCTCTGTGCTGCTGCAGCCACGCTGTTAACAATGCTGATGCTATGCTTTGCTACAAAGCAATGCTGTGAACTCTGCTTGCTGCTTTCTCCTTTTGCTGTTACAAACTTTATCTACATAAACAATTCCTTTTCTCCCCCTGATTTTTACTGATTTTACTGAACTCTGCCCTTCTTCATCTTCTTTCCTTTTATCTTCCCCCTTCATTTACTGCTCTATTTCCAAGCTTTATTCTTCAATCTTCATTCTACTCACTACTTCTCTCCCAAGTACGCAATTCTACAAAAAGTCGCAATCCATCTCCAATCTACAGTCCTAGGGAAGCAGCCATTCTAAAAATACTACCAGTACAATCCAGTTTCTGCAAACTCTGCCAATTTTACTTACAAAAGGATAATAAAGAGATTGGATTTTAGAACCCTGTAGCCTTACCTGTAGATACTTGTATGGATCTACAAGCATGAGCTATATGCTCTGCAAATGTGGAAACTTACTCTTATGATACAGTCTCAACTGGAGACAGTGCTACATACCTGGCAAGTAGAATTCTTGAATCCTGTTTGGCATTACATTTTGATAACATTTTGCAGCTTACCCTCAAACAGTGAAAAATGCATAAATCAGGGATAAATAAAAAAACCCCCTGCCATATGATGACATTTGCCTCTTTGTATTTTAGTGCACTGCTACCTTTCTTGATTTCAATAGCTGAAAAATAGAGACAAATAGCACATTTAGAGGCTTATAATTGCATAAGAGCTCATGATTACATTTTGCCTGAAGTATGTATGATGGAAAAGTTTAGAACTCTGCATATAAAACAGGTCAGTTTGGTTTTTACTTAGCCCGATGTGAGTATTCAATAATGCTATAGTGTATAAAACTTAGAGCTAGAGTCTATGAAGCTAGTGCTTGGACAGCTTTAACAGCCTGTCTCTTCAGTATGTGTTAATCTCACATTGAGATGTCTCTGGGATGATACAGACTATCAGAGCACTCACCCCTAAGTAGATAGGAGTAAAATATTTTGACATTTTCCACTGTATTTATTTTTAGCACTCTGTCTGTGCGTAAGAAGTCAGTTCCTCTGCACTTCCCTGCATACACTTACAAGATAAGCTTGTATTCTCTGCATATACATACAATGCTGCCTGTTTATCTCCTTTGAAAGGGAGTGGTACAGGACTCAGGGGAATTGCGTGTGCAATGAAAATCTATCGAGACTATTTCGAGATTGTATTCCCCTCACAAAACAGGTTAGCTAAAACACAGGAGGAGGGGCAGATGCTTAGCAGGAATTGTCATTTACTAAAACAGCAGTTGTGCTTACAGTCTAATCCTACCTTCTGAGTTCTGACTGGCAACAGAATTTGGGCAAAAAGACATAGGAAATCTAACCTTTTGTCCTCCAATAAGGTAATTCAAAAAGAAGGGATGGGCAGTTAGTTGCTGTAAGGCATAATTATCTGTGAACAATCTTAAATTATTCCGGAGATGTAGAAGGGATATGAAAAAAGTGGGGAACAGATGCCTAGTGTTCCTGTAGGATCTGTGGAGCTGCATAACGCTGCTGTGAGGTAACAGTATGGCCAGAAATATGTCTGGGATGGCTGGAGTGCCCTAGGACCCAGACATAGGAAAAAACCAAGACACAGCAGAGAAAGAAGCGCTTGACAACACTGACATGAAGTGTTTAAGATTTGTTCTTGACACTCTAAGTGCCAATGAGCTAGTAAGGACACTGCAGTAATTCTGGTACAAGTGCGTCTCTTTCCACTGCTAGTAATGAAAGCCTGTGACCTAGTGCAAACAGAGAATCTGGAACTGACTGGCACAGAGAACAGCCTGGAGCATAATATGGAGCACCATGGAAAAGACAGGAAATGTATAATAAATGTTATCCACATTGATCATTCTAGGGTAGTTACTGCTGAATTAAAAAGTGTGGGTAGTAGAGACCATTTCTCACTTTTCTAACATTTGAGGGAAGTCTTAATTCCAGCACTACTGTTACAGATTGTCTGTCATAACAGTGAGAAATACACTAACTCTGTTGTAAAACCAACCTACAAAGCAGAGCGTTCTTTAGTTCCTTCCCCCCCACCCCCCAACGTTTCTGTATCTAAACCAAACCAAAACTTCTGTACCATCGCTGATACACTTGACATCAAAAGACAGTTTTACTTGCAAATTGGATCTTTATTGATTTCACTTCATTAAAACAAGGTTGCTGCTACAGTCTGTCTTCAGTCATGGGGAAATGATAGAAAAACCTGAGCAGTGGGGAAATCTGGTACCCGTACTTAATAAGTGAGGCTTCTGTTTTAGACAAATCCAGGAAAAACGTAAAGGATCACAAAAGGGAAATAGATCAATTGGAATTATTACAGCCAATAATTGCAAATATGACAACTGTCAAGAAAAGGTAAAAAGAAAGGAAACATAATTTTATCCACAAAATTACTTTAAGAAATTTCTTTTACTATCCTCATAGTTTGCATATTATATGCATGTTTAGACAATAAATTATAGCTCTGAAATAACCCTCTTGTCTTCTATTCTTTCGTTATTTGTCTTTTCAAACATCACCTTTCTCCAGGAAAACCTACCTTCTTTTCTTTCAACCTTCTGGTTTTCTTTAGGTTTAGATTCACGTGTAAGTATTCTTCATTTAGGTTCTAAGATGGCAAATCAAACAAACCCTCAATTAGGATTTCTGTAAACAACAAGAAAGAAAGAGTGATGCCCTTTTCAGTCACAGGGGAATTCACAGAAGTTAAGGCTGAAATCAGCAAAACAGCTAACTCACTATGGACTCAGCACAAACTAGTAATGTGTGTCATGAATCTCATGATTCTTACCCATTTGAACAAGTTAACCCAGTGCTTCATTAGAGTCTAAGGTTCTTTTCTTCCTCTGTAGCTTCACCTGAGATACAAAATACACAATAACTATTATGTGTGGCAGAAGTCAAAATATTGCTACCACAAAAGCAGTATTCAACTCTGTGAAACGTTTTGTAACAATTTACAGATTACAAGAGAGGCACTGTACTTGTAATATGTTAGTAATACAGCAATTATCCACAGAATTCTATTTATGAATGAGATTTGCATAATTATCCTTATTCCACAAATGGAGGAATTGGGGTACAAGGAAATAACGTGATTTGCATGTAGGTTTTCAGGAAACCAGAAGAACAAAAAACAGAACCCACGCTCCTGAGTCCCATTAAAAGGCATGGGAATGGTTTACTCAAAGAATGGGCCACATGGTTTACTTTCATAGTGTTGTGGGCCTGAAATCCTCCCTATTATTCAGAGCATGAATAGGCAAAGAATTCTTCACTCCGATAGAAGATGTGGTCATTCCATGTCTTGTCACTTCAAGAAAATTAATTTAAATGAAGTTAGGCATATATCCACTGTATCAGCTAGGTGAAAATAATTTTATTTACAGTGTGTTACTAGTTATAAATGCATCTCAATACATCAAGAAAAATATTTGCTATTTTAATGCTTCGGTAAATTCAGGCAAATAAAGAAAGAACTATGTAGTGTTTTCTAGTGTAGGGTAATGTAAGTAAAAAAGTAAATATAAAATACAAGCAAAATCAAAAGGCTCTAGTAACAGATTAACAAATGCTTTCACAACATAGCTGGATTGCTCCAAAGTTCAATGGAGTAAAAGGAAATACTTTCAT